TCTTGAATTGAGGAGGTAAAAGAAACATTTTGCCAATGGAACAAGACAATTTACACTTAAAATAAGAAAACACAATTGCATTGTCTTATTTTAAGTGCATATTATCTAATTATCTTATTTTAAGAGTAAAATTACTCATTCCATTGGCAAACTATCTCATTTACCTACTCAAATTAAGGGTGAATACACTTAATTTAAGAAATTTTTACTTATTTCTAGATCGTTTTTGCAGTGAATAAAACGGGCACAGCCATGTTTGTTTTTCTTCAGCCTTCCTCCTCCGGTTGAGGCAGTAACATCATACACGTCACTGCATTTCTTTGGCTCGAAACATTTCTGCATCAAGGCTATCAAATGTACTGGCCCCTGGAAAAATAACGCGACAATTCATCTTGCTTGAAAAGTAAGGAATTTTCACTCCTTTTCTTGTTTTGTTTTAGTCAAGTTTTAATCAAGCCTCATTTTAGGATTTATCTGCAACGATGTCCTGCTTTATGTCACAGCAATGCATCTGAAAGTTGATTTAAGTCTCTACGTCCTTTCTTTCTTAATTTCTCAGACATTCAGATGTGGAATTTTTGTTCTGCTTCAAATTATTATACAGCCACTGATGTTAGGTGCACCTAGAGATAAATACAGATGTCTTTTATGCGAATAAATTGTGTAAACTGGGCCTCAAGGTTTGCTATCTTTAGGTCACAGTGCAAATTTGTTACTTTTTTCTAGCAACATTTATGTCAAGCATGATACCTTTGCTCACATGGCGAGATATACAGTTAATTCATTCAAGAGTATTATCAGATCAGTATGAGCTATCAGCCAATATGTTTAACCCATGTTTTATGCATTTCTACTCTTAACAATTTATATTAATGGTATGTATTGGAACGGTAGTCAAGCATTTGTTTATTTCTATGCTGATTATTTATTGATAGTCATGTAAACACAATCGGCTGTCATTTTTTTTTTTTTTTATACATCTGTAGGTTATACTTAACATCACTCAGTCATGGTTGTTCCTTTTTAGGTTTAGCATTAAAAATAAATTAAAGGGTTGTTGTTTTCTAATGAAGGAAATCTACTTTCTCTAATCTTTACCTGGATGTAGGTATTAAATGCCAAAAACAAAATAGCTTGACATTCATATTTACATGAATTTTTCTTTGAAGTCAATTTAGGAACTTGAAAAGGGGGGGGGGGGGGGGGGGGGGTAGCTCAATTAGAGCATATTTAAAAAAACAAAAAAAAACAAAAAAAAAACAAAAACAAATCTTTTGTTTTTCATTAAACTTTAAGAAAATAGGCATTACATCCATTTCGTTACCATTAATTGACTTTCAATTTATTGAGCACTGTTTATGATCCTTATCACCAGAAATAAAAACTAGTCAGCCATTATGTTTTATGGATGCCAGTGTGTTTGACTGAATATCTGTTAAAAATAATGTTTAAAAAAATCAGTGGCTATCATTGGGTTGTGATAGATTTGTTTCTTTTAAATTATGATACTTTTGATAATTGTATTCATTGTTTATCAAGACAATCTTTTAACTAACCTGTAAAACTGAAAACAGTGAAAAAGCTCATTAAAAAAGAACATAACATACAACTCATTTTAATTCTGCTTGGCTTTCTTTTTTCATACACATTAATGCCTTTTGCAAAGTCACAGGTGCTGTTGTGGGAGTAAAAGGAAGCAGTGATCTGCCACTAACTTTCATTGCCTGTCTGATGATTCTGCCAAATAGAGAGATTATCTTTAGTTGATTACTGAAAAACAAATAAAAAAACTTTGATCAGACATGCATGGCATAATGAGGCTCTATGATAACACACTGTTATTTTTTGGCTGAGACCAAACGATAGGATAAGAGAGGTGTATGTATCTGTTTACCACCACAAGTGGGCAGTATTGCGCCATCAAAAACTGTGGTTTTTGTGAATGAAAGTAAAATGCTCCTCTGATAAACAGGCTCATCACATTAGATTAAAACATAGCTGAAAAGCAAATTTTTTTATGTTCATTCAAAATGTCTGAATGTGAGTTTCATATATTAGTTAATACTTTAGCTAATTTCTATGATCATGGTTCAGAGCAAAAAAAACCCAAAAAACTATGTCTTAAACACATTCAGATATCAAAAAACGGACTTAAAGTTCTTAAGCTGCTGCCCCCGCGACCCAACCCTGGATAAGCGGAGGAAGATGGATGGATGGATGGATGGATGGATGACTTAAAGTCCATCAGCTTGTGATGCTGCAGGGATCTTGTATAAGCTGAGGTTACCTTAATCTTAGCCTTTATATCATTACCATTATTGAGTATACTGTTCATTTTTTGTTATGTTTCTTCCCTTTTGGACTTGAGTTTTCAGTTATATGTCATTCTGTTTTGTTAATCTTTGATTTATTTTCCATTATATATTACAAATAAAGCCATGCTGCATTTTTTGAGTTAGTCTCCATTGCCCTCTTGAGCCTGTCTCCTTTCCCCTAGCTCCCTTCTAGTTACTTCTATCCACACCTGCTCCATATCAGTTCATTAGTCCTTTCTTTGTTCTGTTCCCCATATAAACCACCACTGCATTGCTGGTTTCTGGTTGTTACTTGCTCCTCATGTATGTTTTCTCTGACCCTTCCTGTTTTGCTTTTGCTGCATTTTGTTTTTGGACTTTACCTTCTGTTTCCTTTGGTTCTACATTAAATCAGCAAAAATGAATGTCTGCCTCTTTCTGTCTCTGCATTTGGGTCCTCAACCAAAGTCTGCCCAACTATGACACTCCTAATTTTTCATTAGTCCATACATGTTCTGCTGAGATCCATCAAGATGAATAAACTAAGTATTTGGATCTGAACAATACATAGGTGTCCAGCCCTGTTGGAAATTGAAATCAGCATCTTCTAATAGCTTATCAGTGGAGGGAATTTTAAAAAGTTGAGCCATTAAGCAACAGTAGAATAGGAAATGTATTTAGGAGCCTTACTTGATTATGACCTTTTAAATGTACCTATAAATTAATGGAATAAAAAAAAATAATCTTTTAACCAATGAATGCATTACATTGTCAAAATTATGTTTATATTTCTCTTCATAATTTCTAGTAATGTGTCCTTGAACTTTTTAGCTTGTCACAAATATTTGGTGTTTGCTGAACTATTATCCTCCTGTAGATTTCAGTGTTCCTAAATTATTATCTAGTCTTCCCTCTTTACTTTAAAATGCTCAGCCCAAGTTCCTCTGGTATGTTTCAAAAACAACTGTGTCCAGATGTTCCACTGTTTACCTTTGAGATAAGGTCAAGTCTGTCTCTGATTTCATTTCATATAAACCCTCCAAAAAAAGTGTATCAGCTACTCTGCTTACTAACCTTGCTGCCTACAGATGAAAAATTTAAACTAAAGGCAGCTTCCACATTTTACAGACCTTAAAGGAATCTATTCTAAAAGATTTTCCATTTGTAGGAGACACTTTATAGAGTGCCGATGCCCACATTTGTAGTGCTTTTTACGCTGGTCTTTAGGCCTCAGATTTATTTTATTTAAATTCTGTCATTCTGTCAAAAAGATCAGCCACGTTTCTGTTTATATTTTAGTATGTTCAGTAGGCTTGGAGTGTCTATTGCAGTTGGGTTTTTGAGATCTTTTCTATGTATAAAAGTATTTAAATATATACATTTGCATGCAGTTCACGTTCATTTTGGCACTGAAGTGGTTATAGTTGGTAAATAAGGTGAAATGATACCTTGCAGAGAACTGTAAAATATCCGTAATTATTGGAAATTTATGTTTGTAATCTTTGCTTTCATGCTTGTAACCAAGGTAGCTTATCAAATCAAAGAGGAAGCTATTCTTGAAAAACTGTGTATACCTCTACTAAACTGGGCTTTGCTACTGACTCCATGTGATTGTTTTCATTTTGGGAAAAAATAACCCTATAAAAGGTTGTAAAAAGGCATGTAAAAAGGCATGTAAAAAGTGAAAGAAAACTTTATGTTGCATAAAAAAATTAAGAGAAAAGAGAGCTAAAAGAAAACATAACTACCAAGAGATATACATCTCTTCAAGCCATTCCCAACTATTTTTCTTTGTGCTTTTTTTGAAGCTAAACTTTGAGGCCTCTATGCTTGAGTTTACACCATTTGATCTTTTATCACCAGCTTGTGCTGTGAAAAGAGAAATACAGATCTTTATAACCTTAGAAAGATGAAGTGTTGGTAGAAAGGAGGTGTTTAAATATTTCAAAGTACAGCAAAAAAATTTTTAAACATATTTCTTCAATTTTCATGCATTTGGTTCACTTGAATATTAGCTACATCATCCAAAAATAGTAATTTTAGAAAAGGATAACCCATATGAGAAAGAAAAGTTTTTAACATATAATTTAATTTTGCAATACAAAAAAATACCTCTACAAATAAATTGACCCTGTGTTAAAACCTAATTATCCAATATTAAAGTATGAAATGTATTTACCATACCTTTCTGTTTATTTTATCAGCAACACACAGGCCTCACTACCATACCTTTAGGGACAAGAATTTACAGATTGCACAGAAGCTGACTGACCGCAGTAAACATGGTTGCATAAATATATATCACAAACTGTAGAAAAGCAGTACTAGATGAGATGAGAAACTTAGTTATAGAGATCCATCAGTCTGGGGAGGAGCAGAAAGACATATCTAAGACTTTTGGCCTAGGGTGACTCTTGTTAAGAGCCTTTACTCCAAATGGAGAGCAACCTTACTACAGGATCACATTTAATAAACATCCAGGATATCTACAAACAAAACAACAAGGAACAAAAAGGAACCTTTATTTTGCATTTTGCATGTATTAGTAATATTTATTTTTCTAATTTCTTATTTTTAAGTTTAGGCATTTAAGTGCAAGATAAGCAGAAAAAGATGGAATCTGCTCTGTAAAGCAAGCGAGTGATGATTCTAAAAGAAAAATATCCCAAAGTCCAAAAGGGATCAAAAAGGCACAACCAGGCAGGCAAGTACTTAAGTGTTTAATAAATAAAGAGATGGACAGCACAACAACAAAAATAATAACAACATTAAACAACTCAGAATCACTTTTTATGTATGAACATACACTTATAAACCATAAATATGTGGCCCTTATAACTTAAAACTGGTAGCACTTCTTTGACTGAGGTAGGGTCAGGAATAAAAAGCAACTAAATAAAGAAATGTATTTATATGTGTGTTTGTATGTTTGTTGAATGCTGTTATCAGTGGAACTGTATGTTGGAAGTATGTTGGCAAGGAAGCTGCAGGACCAGGTAGTGGAGGCAGCAGTCTTAGCAGAGATGCCTGGACTTCCCTCTTCCCAAACACTGTCTCCATCTCCTCTTGGGGAAGCCCAAGGTCTTCCAGGGCCAGGAAAGAGATATAGTCCCTCCAGAATGTCCAGATTTCATGGTCATAGGTGAGGGTAGGGATGTAGACTGAACGATAAATTGAGAGCTTCTCCTTTTGGCTCAGCTCTGTCTTTACCATAACAGTCCAGTGAAGCATCCGCATTACGGGGAAGCCGCACCGATCCATCTGTCCATCTACTGCTCCATTATCCCCTCACTTGTGAACAGGAACTCAAGATGCATGAACTGTTCCACTTTCGCCAGGAGCTCCTTTCTTCAAGAGGGCAAGCTTTTTTTTCGTCCACGAACCATAGACTCAGACTTGTAGGGGCTGATCTTCATGCTTGCTGAAAACCATAACCAGTACATGCTCTAGGTCTTGGCTAGAGGGAACCAACAAAATCAAGTCATCTGCAAAAAGCAAAGGGGGAAATCTACCAGTGCTGTTGCAATGGGTGTTTAGTAGAAATGTGTTTGCTTTTATAGGCCAGTGCTCTCCTTCAGTCAATGCCTCAGTCTTCCTGCCCAAGACTTCCGGCTGATAACACACACACATGCAGCGTTGATACGGATGAAACGCCAGGCTGTCTGTTCCTTGAAGACGGTCAGGGCGCTAACAAATATGTGTGTGTTGGTGCAGTAGGAGTTCCAGTGGCGGCTGTCAATGCCGAGACAACCTGAACTGCCTGACTTGGAGCTTTGCTTTCCACCCCGCACTCCAGGCCTTCCACCACTCATGATTGCAGAGCCCCTGTGTGTTGGGGATCTACAGGTGGTCTCATAAAAAAGCTGTTTCTTTACTTTGTTGTTGATTGTAACATTGGAGAGTACTGTCACTTCATTTCCAGATATGTCTGTGGCTCGTGTCTTGTTTTTCACCCAGGTATTAATGCTGTCACACACTGAGTACTCTCCTCGATGCATGGTGTGTGAACTTGCCCTTCGTCTTACCCTCACCCCCCTAATCCCTTCAATGTCATAATCTTCATCATCCAGAACATCATGCGAGGGGGTTACCTCACTAAAAACAACACGGGGTGATGGGCGATAATGTCTCTTTGAGAAGAGCTTCGGGTCCACCACTGGACTAGAGGGGTCTGGAGAGGAACCTGCTGCAGAGTGGCCAATAATGGGGCTTCTGCTGTGCATGTGTGAAGCTGAACGATGTAGCCTCTTGGTCCTGTGATGGGTGGTCCTATGATTCTGCTGTGAAGTTTTGCCCTGAGAAAGATGTCCCCTGGCTGCCACTGTGTCCTTCTGCCCTGCTCTGTGACTGGCTGCTCCAGGGCTCCGGTCCAATCCCACTCCCATATTCAGTACAGCCTGGACGCCAATCAGGAGGAGCAGGACCAGTGGTGACGACCTCATGGGCACAAGTCCTGTTTCAAAGATACAAAAATGTATAATCATTAATATTAAAATGTGATTTTTTTTTTCAGCTTTATTAGATATATTTTATCAAAAAGATTAAAGCCACACTGTGTAACTTTTAACTACTAGGAGACACCTGTAAATTCTGTTTTAGGCCTCCTGAAAACAGCTGGTGACTCTTTTGCTAAATTAAACAACCTTCTTCTGTGTTTTGGAATCTGATAGCAGACCACTTTTGACCAGCAGATTCAGAAGTCATGGAGTTATTTGGGAAGACATGGTCACATTTACCCCATCATTCCGTGATGGGTCGGACCCTCTCAAGTTACATAGGAAGGTTTTTTAAAAGCGACGCCCATAAAGAGAATGGATATGCACCATTTGCCATTTATTGGCCAAAAAGATAATTTCATACATCGCAAATTAGGCAATAATTGGGTCAAAAGATATTCAGGGTTGCTTTAAATTGATCAATTATAAGTATTATTTCATTTAAACCATATTATATTATCCCTTATTATTATTAGCACAGTAAATGTAACAGCAGGCACACCTTTAGAAGCTAAAAATGGAGCAACTTCCCTTGTGAAAACAATTTGACGACCCTTTATAGTTTTTGTTCATTTAAGAGCCGACTAGCATTTTGTCTAAGTACATTATATGAAATTCCAATAGACTTCATCCAATTTTGGTTTTGTAACATGATATAATGTAGAAAGGTTCCAGGAGTGAGAATACTTGTTCAAGAAACTTAAACTACACCAAACGGAAATTATTTAATTACATAATACAGAAAAAGAAAGATGATGCAGTTTTTAATAAGGTAGGTTATCCCTCACCAATTCTTTCCCTGCTTTTTTTCTTTTTTCATGGATTGCTTTGCTAGGTTTTAAGTACCTGTGGAATGTGTCCAGCTGAAGTAGAGAGTCCTGTAGACTTTAAAGCCAAACTCCAACAAAGACTGGGCCCCTCATACCTGCCACCTGGACCCTCTGAACCACAGCTCTGTGATACACATGGAGAGTACAAAGACTAGTTATAATTAAATTTCATATTCAATTTATTCATATAGTATAATAGTAAGACAAATTATGTTATGTCTTATATCTTCAGAGAAAAGCAAAAGGTATCATGGAAAAGTAACATGGTCATCACTTTAATCAACGTTTAAACCTCAAAAAAACAAGCTGTCAAGAGCTAGCTAGACAGTATAAAGAAAAAAATCAAAAGCACTTTTTCTGTACATTTGATTTGCCAATGCAAATTATGTAAAACAATAAAAAAAAAAACTGTACCGTAGGACATATAGATATCAATATCTGTGGCATTCCACAGCTCATTAAATATAAAATACCACCTTTATTGTGCAGACATCAAGCTTGCACCACTCAAAGAATATGAACACATGTATTCAAATGTAGTATTACTTCCACCAACATATATCCAATGCATGTGTATGTGATCTGATTGTTCGAATGGTTTGCATAGTTAGATACCAAGTTGTCTATGAACATATTTCTTCCAGACATGCAAACCTTTAGGGGGTCAGGGAGGTGAGTTGAAGCTGACCTGTCAGTATTTATTTACAATGCTTTGTTGCATCTTGTTGTTACAGTGGTAGTATTGGACTGCCACAAAGTTTATGGGTGTTGCAAATATTTACCTCTGCAAGTTTAATGTTATTGTCTTGCTGTGAAGGTTGGACCCTCGTGGTTGGATATAGCTAAGCTCAGGAAGCAGTTAGTGGTCAATGGTATATTTTTTTGCAAAAACACTACCGCCTCTGTATTTAATTTTACCTTTTGAGGCACCAAAGTCCTCTGGAAAATCTTTTGCAATGTAGTAAGATCCATTAGGAGACAGTACTCCTAGCACTGTATACACCAGCTTGCAAGGACAAGCAGCTGAGACATATCAAAATGTCATTGGCTGTCTTCCCCTCAGAAATCATAACTGGGCCACAGAGGGGAGATTTTGCATTTTGAATTCCTGCTCAGGTATTTTCCCACAAGCTAGTTCAAGGCTATGATTATATTTGCTATAAACTACAAATTCCACATTTGGTAATGTCCAAGGCAGTTTTAACATACAAGGCAAAAGTTTTAATAAAACTTCAACCTTTTCAGATCCTGTTTATTTTTCTTCGATTTTGATTTGTTTTTGGAAATTGAAAAGCAATCAATCTTTGTCTAAGTTCTGTTTTATGTGCTGAATATGATAAATGGCTCTATGCTGCAAGCTTCAGTGCATGTTGACTGAATGTCACATTAGATCAACATACTTTCTTAATAAACGTTGGAATAAGGTCAGTTGCATTCATTTACACCCCTTGAATGAATAATTTTCAACCATTTTCAATGTAATTAAAGCATAAGTATATTTAAAGTAAGTTTTTACCAGCGTTACACATTTATACACAAAAGTATTTAGCCAATTCCTTAAAATTAGAAAACACATAGACAATACATGCTCAAGGCCATTTTTCCTTTCCTTCCAAAACCACAGAAAAGAACACTACTGTTGCACAGAGAGATCATGTGAGGTCAACCCAGCAACATGAAGCAAAGAGGCATATGCAAGTTACAGAGGTAGGTTGAGCTACAACATCACTGCAAAATAAAGCATGCAAGCTTGTCTATACACACTGATACATTAAACCGGCATTCTCAGATTTTTCTATTGTAGAACCTGATATCCAAAATAATAGTTTATCCTCTCGCAAAACACTGCTCAGTTTAAACAACAAAATCTACATAAAATCTCATCTTGATCTGGGCTGATAGATATAAATCTGGATATTTAACCAAGACCATTCTATCATAGTCTTGCCCCAATGATCAGGGTCATTTTCTGCTTATGGCACCAAAGTTTGTAGCAGCTTTTACATGTTGTTCCTCTGAGATTACTTTTCATTTAGCTGCATCCATCTTCCTATTTACGCTGAATAGATTTCATGCCCTTCAAAAAGAGCGGTCTCTTTACAGCATGATGTCAGGTGGCATGATGCTTCCACCAAAATATCTGACTGTGGGCATGCTAATAGTAATGTGCAGAGTTAGTGTGCTGCCACATAGAGCATTTGCAGTTTTGTTTCATCTGACCAGACCATCATCTTCCACATTTTTACCTAAATAGGGCTTGAGCCAAATTTTTGCCAATTTCTGTAGATGATTGATTCAGTCTTGCACAGGGAGATGTTAAAAACCTGGGGTATTGTCTCATAGCCAAACCCCACATAAAACTATCAATAACTTCATATATTAATAAATAAAGTTCAGGAGGTGTTTGCACTGGATTGTATTTAGATGTTTTAGAACCAAGTGGGCTTAATTCTAATTCTTGATACACTTCTTAGACATTTATTTTTAAAATGACATTTATTTAAAGTCCAAAAATGACATTACTTTCTCTTCCATTTCCAAACTATGAAAAGATGTGCAATGGTCTTTTACACAAAGTCTCAATAAAATATGTTTAAGTTTCTGATAGTAATGTGAGAAATTGCAGCAAGGTGAAGTGGTATGAATATTTATTTCGAGAACTGTATATGAAGCAATAACATATGTGGTTGTTAATGTAGTAGAGCTGTATTTCATTTTAGGGAAAATATAAACGTTCTTGAGTTTTAATTCATTATCGTACTGGTTCCATTATGAGCGAAAAAAATACTTTTTAGTCCTATGTGATAAGTTAGTGGTCAAACCTTAAATTGCAGACTATGACTTTTACATCCTGTTGCTTTTGTTTGGAAATATTGTCCAGTTTTTTCCTAGAGAATAAAAAATAATGCAATGATTCCTTTAGCAGAATCCTTTCCTGCTCTGTAACTGTATTTAGCAAATCAAATATAAACTGAAGCTCCAGGGAAGGATTAGTTTTGCATTTTATCTGCAAAACAATCAAGTAATCTTGGGTGATGCAGAGAGCTATTGTTTTGACAAACTGATTAAAAATTTATATCTTTTAACTTTACTAAACACAATCAAACACACTTAGGTTCACATATACTGAGCAGGAGGTGGTCCAAACATGCAGTAAACTGACTGATCCAGGCTGACGGGCAGCCGACTATTTACACAGCCCGAGGTGAGCCTGGAGGATCTTAATGTTAAAAATATGTGGCGTGTGTTTAATGCCGGTGGAGCCAGCGTAAACATTGGATCCCAGGAGCACAGGGGTCAGAGAGGTTTAGAGAACACCTATGAGTTATAGGATTACCTCAATACTTACTCAAAATCTCTCTGACTATGCATCTGAACCTCTCCCAATAACACTTTATACAGGCTAACAAACATGCACATCACAGAAATGTATGACATTATTCTTTAATGCAGAAAAGATACAGATGTGTTCTTATTTTTTTTATTTGTTTGCATTTATAAACTTAAAATAACATTGGACTTTGGGAAGGTGAACAAAACAGCAACATTTCCTTGCTTCCGAATCCAAAGGAAGCATTCTCTGTTATAAACTGTTGTAAAAACAGGTCACTTTGCAGCATAAACACGTAGCGTAGATAAAAACAAATGGTGCAAAAGTCAAAATTGCTAAATGTTACATCTCAGATAAGATTCTGGTTACTTTTCTGCAACAATTAAAATCTGTGTTTTACATCTCTCTCTCCCTACTTTAGGAATGAAACATTTTTCTATTTTGTGCAAAGGCATCACTTATTTGCATATTACATGACAAGAAATATCTGAAATAACAAAAGCTTGAACGGGATGACTTTGTGTCCAAATAATGACAAAGAAAATCCATAGTCCTTACAGTAACAGAAATAGCAGACAGTGTCTGAGTCACGTTTTAGCACAGTGATGCAAATAAAACAATTAAATAATAAACTCTTATGAATCATGCAATAAGAAAATGACTCCAAGGATAATTCCTATGGTGGCAGACTTTGCAGAAGCTGCCCTGCGTAGTTTACTGGAAAGTGAGGAGATTTCCCTTTTCCCAGTAAGCTTTGTGTAATGCTTTGCCAACTAGTGAATGAAAAACATTTTGATTGTGCAATTTCTCCTTTTCAAATGCCATGATGGCACAAGCATGACAAAGCACTAACAGGATAAACAAATCCTTGTTCAGGCAGGGAAACGTTACTGTAATGCCTACAATGTAAACAAGAGAAGGGAAGTTACATGTTGCCTAGCTGCTGTTATAGAAAAACATCTCCTGGACACATGAGATCAAAGCTTTTCAGATACAGACGTATCGCTTTGTCATTGGAATTGAAGCTCAGTCAGTTACTGGTACTGACAACAAATTTCTTTGGCCAGCAGGAAAGTTTCGTCAGGCAGCTAGCTATAATAATGTACTAAGCAGACTTTAGTAGCATTGACATGCAACATTACTACACTTGGCTGTAGCAAACGGTGAAGGAAACACATGTGGCTCAAACCCTGAAATGTGAGCATCACTTTCCATCATGACGAGGTTAGTTTACAGTAACTTCTCCCATCCAGGGGATGCATTAGTCATTAGTTACAAGTCCCTGTTAAAAGATGAACAGGAGCATCATGTCAACACTTCTCTCAAACAAACACAAACATCTGTCGGTGTGATGAAAACTGCATCAGATTATAAGCGGGTGAGGAGAGACTGACAGCAGCAGAGGCGGAGGTAGGTAGAGCAAAGAAAATGAAGGGGGGGTGGTGGCGCAGGGGAAAAACTGAGAAAGACAAACAGTTTTCCTGAGTCTCTCAACAGCTCAGTGTAGTGCATTTCCTCCCGCTGTCAACCACTGGTAATAATTATTGAGCGGGATGACAGCCAGGTCAGCTTGCTCCCTTACACATAAATGAGACTGACTTGTGGAGATTGTTTTACTGGGAAAGAAATCCTACTGTTTGAATATAAAATATTTCAATTATTATTCGTTCATTGCATCTTTCACTTTTTATAATGAAACTTTTCTTCTCTGCAAATAGTGTTAATATTTCAGCTGAATAAAAAGATATATGAACTGAGTTCAGCCATCAACATGCTGCCATAAACTCAGTTTT